AACAACCGTTAACTATTGTATAACCAAACAATTATATCTATCAAATCCACTATTTACTAGCCACTACTCACTTTTTGCTATTTGTCATCCACCTTCTGCCATTCTTCATCTACTAACCGTCACCTATTATCTACAACCGCTATCCACTAACCACTAACCACTACCCATTACTTGCTATCCACTAAATTTTAACCACTGCACCAAAAAAGCCCTTAATGTCACCATTGATTTTTCATTTTCTCATATTTTTTCTGTGAATTATTTTTAGTATTTAAGATTTCTTATCTAAAAAAAGGAAAAATTGGGACTTTTTGGTATTTAAAATGCAATGCTTGTGAAATCATTCAAATATTTTTAATAAATCTTTTTGGTGTGTTCATTTATTGAAATTATTTAATTCTTTAGTAATATTATAATTACAATGTCATGTAAGATTATAAAATTATAATCATAAGGTGACATTAAATAAGTAGATAAATATAATATCATGGGTGAACCCTTGAATGAAAAGAGTTAATTATATATGACATATTATGTTATAAGTTATAATGACATGTGACACTATAATTATAATATTTTCTTTAACTCTTTTCATTAATTTTTTTGATGAATTTAGCTCTTTTCATTATTATTTATAGTATTTCAATTTTCAGTAAAAAAATGATTTCCCTCAATTTCTTTCTTATAAATAAAATTTTAAAAAAATAAGTGACACTTTTGTTTATTTAAAGAGTTCCCTTTTTGTTGTTTGAACTATAAAACAAGAACTTTTAAATGGGGGGAGGGGGGGGATAGTTTCAAATATTAGAGGACCACCCTTCATCTAATGGTTTTTATTGTGCAATTTTATGTAATTTAGATTGTACAATAGTTTTTTATTTTTTAAAACTCAAAAACATTTTCATTAAAAAAAGTTTCAAATTTAGAAGAAAAAAAAAAGAGTATTATTTTATACTCCAAATTACAAAATATTACCCTTAAATGGATGGCCCTTCTCTATTTTAGGGCTGATTATAATTTACTAATAGTTTGTGTTTTATAGTAAGCAAAAGGGTTAAATTCACTTATAAGTAAA